GTTGCTTCCGTTCGTTGTTTTCTTTTACACGATGTGTCCCGTATAAACTATTACAAGCTGTTTTTAACCGACTTCGAAAAGGAGGAAGTTACTCAATTCGACATGTATATATATATTTTTTTTTTTATTTTTTCTTCGAAACTATTGAAAATTTCGATGTTATTTTTCTTATAACTAAAGAATACAGAGGAGCTAATCTTTCATTGTGAAAGCAAACTTTTTGGAGAAAATGTTAAGGACCATAGGTGGCCCCATATTTTTTCTTCGATGTCAGTCAGTTTTATAAGAGCTATGCGAATAATAAAAAAGAAATATCACCTTCCATTTAACAAAAATTTAGAATTCCTCCTTTATTCCTCTTAACAATCATCTTAAAAAATTACGTTGTATTTTGAAAGCTTGTAATAATTTATACCCAACGAACTGTGTAGACTAAAGCAAAACTTATCAAGTTCGATAAACATGTACGAAGTCGTGTGTCCATCCATACTTAAGATACAATTAAATGTGAAATAAAAAGGTTGTGTATCCGAAGGGACACGAGAGTGTAGGCTGTAACATTAGTTTCCAAAGATGATTCGCGTTATTAACGAAATTTTATTAACAATACATCGTACCAGGTAGCCAAAACGTCGATGTAGCTTGCGCAATAAAATAAATAAGAAATTAAAATGAGTATATATACACTGATATTACGTATACGTAAAGCTGTAAATATATATATTGTTGTCAGTTGAATGTTAAAATAAATACCGTGCGTGAATACGGATTTGTTATTGCATTAATTTTATTATCCTCATTGTCCTTGTTTCATTAGTCAAAATATTTGATTAACCTTATTTTATTAATTAAAATAAATACTACTCATAAAAACACTAATAAGCATAAAAATTACTCGATAGTATCGATACCTTCTAATAAATTGTAATTAAATAAAAGAAATTCAAATTTCCCGCGAGAAATTGGTGTCGCTACCTAGCGGTGAACAATCGAACTATTTTCGGAGTGTGATCAGCGCCTCTATCGGGAAAACGCTCAAGTTTGTCCTCGAATAGTTCCTTCTTTTACTGGAAGATGGCGCTACTTCCATGTTATTTACCATCACCGGTCGGTACGTTATCACCATGTCGGTAAGAACCATGGAAATAACGCCATCTAGCAGTGATAGCTTCAGCTATTCGACGACAAACTTGAGCGTTTTCCCGATAGAGGCGCTGATCAAACTCCGAAAATTAGTTCGGTTTCTTCGTCGCTAGATGGCTTTTCATTTGAGCGAAAATACCGGGAACTCGCAAGAGAAACTGTGATAATTTAAAAGTTTATAAAAGACTAGTAGAATTATAAGAGGAACAATAATTTATAATGCCAAAGAAGCTTGTAATTAAAATTTTTTAAAATGAATAGTTTTTTACAATATTGCTTTATTGAAATATTTATCAATAAATCAAAATATTAAAATAATTATAATTCAAGACGTTCAGACTTTAGCAAACACTGTTATAGTTTAAAAGTTTAAAAAAGAAGGATTTATTTTATAACTGTTTGGAGCATTTATTTTTAATACAATTCAATTGTCATGGTTGTCAATTTATCAATAATCATCGAGAAATAGTAGTAAAGATAATACTAGTGATAGTTTGATTCAAGATTTCGCGTGGAAAGAAAAAAATTTTAAGCGTTACGTATACAATTTTTTGAGAATTAATAAAATAATTGCTATTGTATTTTAAAGTATATGTCGCTATTATAACTAGTTTAATGTAGATCGAGAGTTGAATGTCGATCATGTAGATCATTCACGCGTGTACAACTAATAAGAATCGCATTAGGAATGTCTCCAAATAAAGATACTGTCACTCCTATACCATATAACACTCTTCTTTTCTATCTTTCGAGTCTCCCCAAAAGTATAATAATTTCAATAGTCAAAACGTTTTATATTTTCTTTGAATATCAGATCTGTTCTCATATCTACTTGGTTTCACTTGGCCTCTACGTCTCTTCTACTTATCTTTTGACGTGATAAGACGCATGCGCCAATAGTGCTGATACCAGCAGATACAAGTGGATACAAGGTGATAATTTGAGATCGGTTCAGCTGTCACTTTCGGCTGTACAGCCCTAACATATCATATTTTCAACTTAAAACGTGACATTGAAAAATGATGTCTGAAAGAGATTATGCACCGCTCAGTGCTGCTTGTGTACGATCCCTTAATGATAAACTTTACGAAAAACGGAAGGCAGCTGCTCTAGAAATAGAAAAGTAAGGTTATATATATTGTTTACTGATTTTTTTCTCACTGTTAACTGTATCGTATTCGCTATTTATTCTTGTACATATTGTTCTAGGATGGTAAAGGAGTTTGCTGCACACAATAATACTGTACAAATTAAACGACTCTTAAAAGTGCTGGGTCAAGATTTAGCCACTTCGCAAAATCCACATACACGAAAGGGTGGTTTAATTGGCCTGGCGGCAATAGCAGTAGGCCTGGGAAAAGACACTGGTCAATATATAGAAGATCTGATTCACCCTATTCTAGCATGTTTCAGTGATTCTGATTTACATGTAAGATACTATGCTTGTGAGAGTTTGTATAACGTGGTAAAAGTAGCAAGGGGTGCTGTATTGCCACAATTTACAGATATTTTTGCAGCACTCAGTAAATTAGCATGCGATTCAGAACAAAGCGTAAAAAATGCTACAGAGTTACTTGATAGACTTATGAAGGTAATTAATATTTATGGAATACAAAGAAATGTATAATGAAGGTATTTCTTTGAAGTATAATTTCAGGATATTGTAACAGAGAGTGGCCTGTTTGATTTAGTTGGATTTATGCCACTATTACGAGATCGTATTTATACCAAAAATTCATTTGGTAGGCAATTTGTAATTGCTTGGGTATCGGTCTTAGATGCTGTCCCTAACATGGATTTTATCATATTTTTACCTGAAATTCTTGATGGCTTATTTAGAATATTAGAAGATCCAACACCAGAAATTAAGAAAGTAACAGATACAGTTCTTGGTGAATTTTTACGTAGCATAAAGTCCAATCCTGGAAGAGTAGATTTTCCTGGAATGATAAATATTTTAATTACGCATGCACAAAGTACAGATGAATTATTACAATTAACAGCAATTACATGGATCAAGGAATTTGTGCAATTATCAGGGCCCCTTATGCTTCCTTATATGTCTGGCATTCTTATAGCAGTTTTACCCTGTTTAGCATATGATGGAGATACTAGGAAAAGTATTAAGGAAACTGCAACACAAGTAAATATAAACTTAATGAAATTAATAACTATGGAGAATACACAACATGTAAATAATGTTTCTGAAAACACTGCACAAGTTCTACAAGGTACATTGCTCAAAATGTCCACAGAATGTGATAGTTTATTTAAAAGAAATAGTAATATTAAACCATTTTTCTCAGATACTAGTCAAAATTGCTCCTTGGCCGAAAGCGTAGATTTATCTAGCGTCGTCGAAGTGCTAACAAAGCACTTAATGTATATGTCAGTACAAACCAAAGTTGCTGTTCTGAAATGGATTCATCATTTATTCACAAACATACCACATAAAATGTTTAACCATATTGAAAATTTGTTCCCAATTTTGATGAAGTCTTTGAGTGATACTTCCGACGAAGTTGTTCAGCAAACGTTAGTTGTAATGGCTGAAATAATTAGTTCAAAATCTCCCGAGGCAGCTACTAAAGACTCAAACGCGGAAATGCAAAACAAGTACTTCACAAAATTTATTGTGAATTTATTAAGACTTTTTTCGACAGACAGGCATTTGCTAAAAGAAAGGGGGGCTTTTATTATCAGAGAATTGTGCGTGTTGTTAAGTGCCGAGGATATTTATAAAACATTAGCGAAAATATTAATGGAGGAACCAAATTTAAATTTCGCGTGTACAATGATACAGACATTAAATGTTATATTGTTAACGAGTTCGGAACTTTTTGATTTACGAAACAAACTTAAAGACTTAGATTCTTTGGTAAGTAGTTTTACATTTTTTGTACATTCGATACGATTTTGATTTGTGTATCATTGCAGGAAAGCTGCGAATTATTTAAATGTTTATATATATCCTGGTGTCATAATCCTGTTGCAACTGTAGCATTGTGTTTTCTATCACAACATTATGGCCATGCTTGTAATATTATTAGATCATTGTATCCTTTACTGTAATGTAATTTCCTATTTCTTTTTTTTTTTTTTTAACGTCAATTTACTATATTTTTAACATTACTTAACCTAAAATAAATACAGTGAAAATATCGAAGTTACTGTAGAGTTCCTCACAGAAATAGACAAATTGGTGCAGTTAATCGAGTCACCAATATTTACTTGTAAGTAGAAAAAATAATCACTGTTAATACGCGTATTTACACACAATGTGTTTCAGATTTAAGATTACAGCTCCTTCAAAGAGAAGAAAATGATGCCTTAGTCTACGCCTTGTATGGTCTTCTTATGATTCTTCCTCAAAGCGAGGCATATGCAACTTTGCAAAAACGTTTAGCAGCTATTCCTCCAACCTCGATATCAAAAGCTCCGCCCAATTTAAAACCGTTCAAGGATACATTTGATTTTCCCGAATTGTTGAAACACTTTCACACTATCCAAGAACAACATAAGGAGCAGAAACGTAAACAAAGATTAACAAATTTGATAGAGAAAAATACAAATCACACGGATATGTAAATAATCATTTTTATAAACTTAAACTTTAGATGATTATATATAATAATTTATATAAAGGTAAACTGGTGTATGTACAGATCCGTAATTTTTTTACTATGTTTTTACTGTAAACATATTTATATGAACAAAGATTGTGATTTACCATTTTTTCTATCACAAAATTATGTATGATTTTCATACAAAATAATTTATTTTTCATTATATGAAGAAAATTGTGAATATTATTGAACGTTGTTAACTATCTTAATCAAATTAACTAATATACAATATACATTTACCAACATTGTATATATATTACAAATACAGAGAAACAACTTACGCGCATAAAATATATCGCTATTTACAATACATAAATATTTATAGGACATTTTTTACCTATCCCGAAAAAAATGAATCACGCTTCTTCTATCCTATAAATTGTCTAAATAAATATTGTCACTTAAAAAAAAAGTGTCACGAAGGAAATACTAATTGTAGGTAATGCTAAAAATAATAGATAATGTTACGAAAGATATGATTGCAATGTTTAGAAGGAAATCTTCCGTTTAAAACTTTAAAGTACACTCTACGTTATTCGCGTTCATCAGTTTTCTTTTACTATAAACGTTGTCAGTCTTCCTCTCATAAATGTAAAAAAAAAATAAATTAAAAGATAAATTGCTAAAGGGACGTGTACTCGGAATCGTCTGTATCCTCTAAATCATCAAGCGTTGACAAACGATTAAGCTGATCTATAAGCCGTCCATTTTTATATAAAATCATTGCAATGCCTTCTTGCGCAACGCAAATATTTTTCCATGCTTTTGTACTTTCTTGAGCAGGTAAATTAGTTTTTTCAATAGTTTTTAATTTACCCGGTAGCCTGTCTATTAAATGTAAAAAGTTCTCGTATCGTTCTTTACTTTCGTGCGATAAGCGATATGAATATGTTTCTAATATACGTTCGTAATTGTCTACATCTTTATCCAAAATTTGAGTTTGTAGGAAGACGGTTTGCGCCATTTTGTACCAGTCAGCAACACATTCAGAATGATTTATCATTGAAGGTGTGCAAAACGTTTCAAGGAGATCCTTTATTCTCTGACTTGTTTCTGTAACCTGGTTAAATTAAACAATATTTTTTATTGCATTGAGCTATTCTCACACGTGCATGTTATATACGTTGCGCTCAAAATACCTTTATTCGCTCTAGAACATGAAATTGCTCATCATTATACGTGAGGCTGCGTGTGGCTCTGTCTCTTAATAGATGTTGCCAACCATCCCGTAAACGATCGACCAACGTTGTTGCTTTTTGAGTTGCTTTATTGGCCCATGGGCACCATAATCCTTGAATAATATTATCCCATTCGGCGCGTAAACTACCTTCTTTTACATACCTGTATTTAAAATGACGATTTTAAGAATGAAGGAATCATTGTTCAATGATTTATATGTAAGTAGATGATGTGAATTTTTACCTCTGGTGAAGCTGTATTACTGCAGGGGATAGTTCAGTTAGAAGTTCTTTACTCTTCGTATCTAGTTCCTTTTTCCAATTTTTTATTTCTAAACTATTTTGATGATTTAACTTTCTAGAAATTTGTTGAGCAAGATTTTCACTTCTTTCTACTGCTATTACTGTATCTTCTACAGCTTTTGTGAACTCTTTGGAATGCTGGCATTTCTCTAACAATCTTGTAAGTTCCGTTGAAACAAGTCCACTGAAAGCTTCTATCGCATCTCGCGATAACTTACTACACAATACCAGTTTGTCAATTCTTCTTTTATACACATATCCAACCGAACAAGCCACTTTTGCTTGACTTGCATCATTTTCTACGGACACCAAATTTGCAAACACTGGAAATTTAGGTAATTCTGCATCCACTGGCAAAATGACATTATTATTTTCCTTGGAAAATAACATCAATGGTTTGTCTTGAGATGTATTAGGGTAACCTTTCCCAGGAGTAGATTCTTCGATAATGTTTGTCAAAAATGTATCACCACAAAGAAGTATCTGGGCATCTGGAGCAATGCCAGTTTGATTTTGAATATGTACTTGAAGTGCCATCAATTTTTCTTCAGGATGCAAGAAAACTTTGATTACACTTCCTTTATGTACATTGAAGATATGTACACGTTTCCTGGAAAGAATGTCTGTAACCTCTGCAAAAAATTTTTCAAAGCTCCATATTTTCTGAGGATCCACTTCTATTAAACCAGCTAATAATGGAGTAACAATTTTTTTTAAACCAACACTCAATTGACAGTTTTGTGGTAATTCTCTGCTCCAATCAATTGGTCCATTATCTGAAGTTTGTACACCTGATATAACACCAGAGGCTTTGTTTGTAGTAATATAAAACATTGTCCTTTTATTCCTACGTCCACCAAATGGTCTAAATGGTAAATTTCCAGTAGCTACATGATACAATGTGACACCTATAGACCACAAATCCACAGTTGCTCCAAACATTTTCCCAACTGGTTTACGTAAAACTGCCCGCTCATATATATCTGGGTGCAAATATTCTTCTGTACCATAAAGAGATACAAATTGTTGATCTTCTTGTAATTCTCTGGCAGCGCCAAAGTCGGTAAGCTTATAAATTGTAGTGCCATCATCAGCAATAAATTTCATTATGTTACCTATAAGAATATTTATAATACGAAATACAGTAAGTATTTGGAGAATTCTACTTATGTAGTATTCGATTTACATACAAAGTTTTAGGATCAAGGACTTGGCAATTTAAGAAATAATACATTTATGTTAGTAAGTTAGGTATTCTCGTACCTGGCTTTAAGTCTCTATGTATTAAATTATTATCACGTAAATGTTTCATTCCAGCAGTTACATGTTCCAAGACTAACAAGAACTCGCTTTCTGCCAGTCCGTAAGTATTTTCTGGATCGTCTAGAATACTGAAAAGGCTGCCCCCCGTGGAAAGTTCCATAACAATAACAGTTCCACGACCATCTTGCTCCTCCTCGATGGCCAACAATTGAACAATATTTTCATGATTTACTTTCTTAAGGACTTCAAATTCTCGCATTTGTACGTCATGTGGACGCATGTGACTCAGCTGATTGAATGTCTTAACCGCGACAGGTTCCCCATTACTTTTATTTACACCTTGAAAAACGGCACCAGTCGCACCTTTGCCAAGAACACTAGTCGTACACCAAACAAAATTTGCGGAGCCACGTAAAAAAGACATTTTGCACTGCTTCACAGTCCATACAAGATTCGTGTTATTGAAACTTTGACAAACGATACAACCTTCCAAGTTTCAAAGATTTCCTGTTCACAATAAGTTGCATGTTTTGCACATCTTTAAACTTTCTACTATTTATAATTATTCGAAATCAATTCATAACCGTTACATAAAAATGTATGCGAATAATTAATTCACCGTTCTCAACAGCACTATTTATCGTACACTTGTCAGTATACAGGAAAACTTTCGAATAAACTATAGTTTATAATTCTACGCAGGAACGTATCTTGAAGTTCCTTTACCTTTTTCTGTGTAATGTCACGGTTGAAAAAGTAAATGGATAAAGGAGATAACAAAACAAAATAATAATACACTGGATAAACTGTTGTTAAATAGGAAAAAAACGACACTTTTTACTGGTACAGAAGTACACTGTACGAGTATTTAGTGGCATTTAGTACTTTAGGTTATTACATTATATGTTATTAATTATATTTGCACAAATATAGAAATAAATAGATGAAAGAAGAATTTCTTAATTTTTGAGACGAGTTAATTAGCTAAAAATAGGCTTCCTTCATAAACTTTTAAACTATCACAGTTTTTCTTGTGAGTTCCCGGTATTTTTGCTGAAATGAATAGCCATCTAGCGGCAAATAAATAAATTGATTGATTGATTTGATTTGATTTGATTTCCTTTATTTGAATCATAATCCTGTCGGAATACACTTTTTTTGGTTAATTCATCAATTCATCAGTCTTACACATATGTGTTTTTTTCCATATAACATTTACATTCTTTCACACATCTGTTGGGGCCCGCTGTGACCCCTGTATAGCTCGGGTACCTCAGAGTACAATCAAACACCGCTACAGCCCCTGAGGGTACGACACCAATTTCCCTCGTAAAATTTGAATTTACTTTATTTCATTAAATTCAAGTTTATTAGAAGCATTTTTAGATACTATTAAGTAGTTTGTATGCTCAATAACTCTTCCGTACATTGATTAGAGAATTTAGCCAGCGTAAACTTTGTTAAAATTAATACTGGTCGCCTCTCTTTTATCATTGAATAGTTGGTTCGTTTTTATTTAAATATAACAAAAATGTTTTATCTATAAATTTGGAAAGTACAAATGAAAATTTAGAAATCACTGATTAATATAATATTAGACATGTAAAAGAGCTTCGATTTCTTGTTTATACGATAAGAAGTTGAAATCCTTTTCACCTATCTACTTCCGCCTTATGTTTGACGAGATACTAAAGAATTCTCTGAACTTTTATACAAACATACCAATGATAACCCGTAGTAAGTTACTCGATGACACAGGGTCACTGTAGAGAAGATACCAGACATTGAATCATCGCAGTGTTATCGACGCTAAAAGTGTACCAATCGAAAATCGAAACCACATTTTTATTGCAGTTTTATTAAGATATCATTAAGTTTCCAGAACTATCACTGGAAAGTTTACTACCAACGATAAATTCTATCGGAGCCAAATTACGATTGGATTCATTTTTTATATTGGAAATTATCTACAATGAAATCTCATCGATTTGAACCTCCCAATTTATAAATACGTGTCACGTATGAGAAACAAGTATAATAATCTACCTGTAGAGCACTGTTTACGAGAGATGCTATTTGAAATTCATGTACGGAGAATTTCTCCGTAAAACTCTAATCTGTTTTCCTTCACCTCGCTGATTGATTCTCCTTTAACGAATGACATCTCTGTTTGCTTGAAATACAATGAAATTTCATCGATTTAAATCTCCCAATTTATAAATACGTGTCACGTATGAGAAACAAGTATAACACTAGTTTACAAAATAAAAAAAAAAATGTACATTCAATGCCACAATTCTTTTCTTATGTATTTTGGCCTACTAGTCTCGAAAATCGCAAGAAAAAATTTTTCTATGGACAGGTTTTTTTTATACGAATTTTTTAATTTTTTGTTTTCGATTTTTTTCTGACATGCGTTCACATTTTAGGCCATATCTCGAGTTGGAAACGTCCGATTGGATCGCGCAAGACGTCATTTTAAAGATAATCGAATTTCCAACAATTGCTTTCTACATTATTTTCCAATCGGTTCAATAGTTTAAGTGTTACGAGCCAATATATATATGTAAATATATAAATATATAAATATATATGTATCTAAAATAGAACACGAATATTTCTTCCATCGCCATGGAAAAATAGAAATTGTCAAATTATGTCCAGTTTCTTATTGTTTACGTATAGATCGCACTTTGACAATAGTTTACGAAAGATACTATTTAAAGTTCATGTACGGAGAATTTCTTATTGTTTTTTTCCTTCTTTGGACAAATTCTAATCTGTTCTTCGTACGTGGATGCTTCAAAGGTCGATCACGCGAAATAGGAGAAAAATTGTTTGGCGCGCATTACGTTCTAATCTGTATCAGTGAAACGCGTTTACCCTTCTCTTGACAGATTCAGAGGGTTAATAAGAGGCACGGAACGAATATCGTGCTTTCAGTCGACGCGCAGCGTACAGCAACGCGTATATCGGCTGGTTCTTAAACATTCACAACGTTCTTGTTGCACAGGAAACGATATTCAACGTTTAATCGGCAGTTGAAGCGATCATACGAACAGTTACGCTAAGCATGTCCGCGCGTCAAGTTCTTCTGAAATAAATCGCCGGTTACAGTGTGAATTAACCATGGATAGACCGGTGTTTTTGGTGCTGCTTGTTTGTTCAGTGGCGCTTTTTCATTCCTATGGAACCGGTGCGACTGTTAATCGGTAAATGACATCTGTGCTTAATTAAACATCGATATGGGTCGACTCGGAGATGGATAGAATTTTTATTCAAATAATTGAGAATTCGATTTTTCATTCTCTTATTATTCACTTTTATACAAATAATTTTCCCCCTTTTTTTTTCTTTTACCCCTTGCAATTTGGCAATTTTTCGAGATCCGTGGTATACAACTGTTTATTGAAAAGTATCCCAACTTGAGCCCGAAACGTTTCGTAAACAGACTCGATTTCAAATTGAATCAACTGTTTACTGTTGAAATGTACACGTAATATGGTTGAATATTAACGTAAACACTTGATTTAATCATTTGTAATCGCGATAAATATTATCTTGTAATAAAATTTATTTTTAGACCAAACAATAAACAAAAATAATGTTCATTTATACGTTGACGTTTCGGTTAATAACGCACGGTTCTTCGTGTGTATACAACACATACAAAAATTTTTGTTGGAATTCCAGTAGCATGCAAATTACGTAATTAAGGTAATAAAAAGGAGAATAGAGCTAGTAATGAAAAAATAGAGATAAAAACTTTGCATTCGTATCTGATATTTATTTACAGCCAGAGTATCTTCCTAATACAGAAACTTTCTTTCTGATAAGGATTGACGAGGAACAAACATTGTAATATAAATGTTAGCTCTCGATAAAAAACTTAGTAAACGAAAATATTGTTCCAGGAAGCCCAACTAAAACCTCTCGTTACACTTTATGAATGACCGACAGATAGGAACAAAGAACTCCAATTTATTAAGTAACTTTATTGAATGAAAATGTTGTTCGCGAATTATAAAATGAGTACACAACGCACACTGTGATATTTCGTTGATACGCATATCACAGGAGGCAGTTGAACGTTCGTAATAGCTTTCATTTATTATGTGGCTTCGAATGGAATATGGAGTCGATTATTTAAAAAGAGAATCAAAAGTAGTTGGTCTTTATACGACCAGATCCATACGTGGAGTATCTTTGTTCTTGAAGATAAATGATTAAGAGCAGGAGCATTATGTAGAAGACTACGAGTTTTAACTGACAAAAAGGCATTAGCACTTCGTTGATGACACCTTATTTTAATCAGAGCTGGATAAAATTTTATTCGAATAATACAGATCACGAATACAACCATTGAATAGTTAATACAACCATGGTGGAATATTTATTTGTATAATTCAAACCGTGATGTTTATAGTATTAGTGACAAATAAAAAGATGATTATTTTTTATTTGATATTGTAAATTTTTATCTAGGTCTGCATTAAGAGTTTGCAGCTTGTATACAGTAAAAGATTTAAATAAAATAATTAATGACGCAAATATTCGGTGGTAGTTCAAATTGTAACATTTCACAACAAAATATTGAACATTTGTTTACTACAACCTCATCATATTCAAGATAATAAAATATGACATGTCTTTTTACCGTATAATATAAACTTGTAGCATGAATGTTAAAGTTTAACGTTCATTTTCTAAGCTAAGAAGAAAGTGATTGAAAGTGCTTAATATTTCATTTACAATGACGATATGAAATTTCTCTGTTTAAATAACCAGTTATGACTTGCATTATTAAAAGATGTAGTACTATGTTAACATTAACGACGATAATTGAACGGTGTTGTGTATTAAAACGGCCTTATTCGTTGAACCTCACCTTTTCACACTGTTTTAATAAAATATAATTTTTATGCTTACGTTTTATTAAAAATCAATATGAGTTGCTTCTTTAATTTGACGATTTGTAAATAATCCAAACCAATACGGATAATTCTTATGATAGATTGAACAATATTTTATTACAAAAAAAGAAAGAACATATTATAATAAATAAACAAAATTTGTTTCTCTATTCTAGCATAACTCATTTCTACCTATAACTCATATATTAAGTTAAATTTCTCTGCTTTTATCCATCATAGTTATTATTTATCTTATTATCGATTGAAATTTTATTTTCGGTTTTATAAAAATTTAATAAATTCGTGAAATAAATGAATTAATTAAAACTAGCGCAACTGACATGCGATTTTTAATATCATGACGATCGAATTGTTATTGTCGATCTGTTTTGACTTGAAATTGTTTACAGGGGTTACGTGTTTACTGCGCCAAAGCGGCTTTTAGCCGGCGAAACCGAAAGCGGATGCGTGTCTCTGCACAATTTGGAACCACCAGCACACGTTCTCCTCGAGTTGTTGTCTCCGTCATCGGTACAGGAAGAGGAAGTATTGGCTAGCACCAGCTCTGTCATAAAGACAGGTAAACGCCGCGCTATTACGCATACGCTGCAAAAAAGATTATCCTAAATAGGGTCATCGACTTCATTGAGGCGTATAACTACCCTGACCGACCCTCAAGCAAGCCAATCTTCAGGAATTATTCACATGGATATTATGTAACGTAGTCGGATCAAATTTGAATACACGAATGTTTACACTTTTAAATATATTATGTAAATTTTATATTGAAAAATATTAGAGAATCACGTTGTATCGTCCTGCTCAATGTGGATTCTCAGAGTATGTTTATATGAATGACAGCCATTGCATCAACTATTGAGTACATTTAAATATTGAATAAATCTCACGTTGTATTTAACAAATGTATGATAAAT